ACGTCCTGGGCTGGGCTCAAGAGGAGGCAGAGGGACTGTCCCCCCCAGCACGTCCTGGGCTGGGCTCAAGGGGACGGAGGGACTGTCCCCCCCAGCACGTCCTGGGCTGGGCTCAAGGGGACGGAGGGACTGTCCCCCCAGCACGTCCTGGGCTGGCCTCAAGGGGACGGAGGGACAGATGAGCAGACAGTAGGGCAGGACAACGTTGGTCCCCCCAGATGGGGAGAGGAGAGCACGTGGGCAGAGAGCCGCCCCACAGCTCGCCCTGGGAGGGACAGCAGTGRCAGCAAGGTGGCCTGTCACGGGAGCCAGGGTGCACCGGAGTGGCCTGAGGACACCGTGGTGTGCTGCAGTGGAAGGTGTGTGCGGAGCCTCCGAGGAGGCCATGCAGAGCCTGCCCCAAGCTCCCCTGAGACCTGAGGGGACGTGGCCCACRGCTGCTCCCCGGGGGAGGGCCCGGGGTGGGGGTCATGGCCGTTGACAGCCGGAGGGGAAGTCAGGACCCTGGTGCAGGACAGTCCGTGGTGGGGACCACAGACTGGTGGAAGCTGATGGCACCCTGGGTGGGTGTGCGGAGCTGGGCGTGTCCAAGGGTGGCTTCTCAGTCCTCTTGTTTTAGACGCCCACTCCCGCCAGCCGGCGCTGCCTAAATCAGGAGTGTCGTGGTATGCCATGTTTATGTCGACCTGCAGGGGTGGGCTCCGTCCATCCTGGCTGGGCTGCAGCTGGCCCCTGTGCCTAAGGAACGTGGTGAACAGGCTCAGGCTGTCTGCTGGCCACTGTGGGGCAAGCAGCCTGTGGGCAGCTGTGGGCCTCAGAGCTATGTCGCCCTCCAGTAAGGGCTCTGGAGCRTTCCAGTGCAGGCCACAGGAGCAGGGAGGTCGAGGGAGAGGCAGGGCAGAGGGTGGGAAGGGCGGCCCTGTTTGCAGCCAGGCATCAAGGAGGGCTTGTTCCCCATCCCCAGGCATCTACTGCTCTGGCCAGGCAGGCGTGGGCCCTGGGGTGACCTGGAGAAGGAGACACGCTCCTGCCCACTGGCAGCCTGCACTCTAGTGGCCCCGAGAGATGCAGTTTCACTGCTTTGAAATCACAGCAGTCTCAGGAAGTGGCTGGTGTGGTGACCGTGGCCACCCAGTCATGTGCTAGAGGTCAGCCATGGTCATAGGCTCTGCGACCACCCAGGAGAGGCCCCGGGAGCCGTGGCTTGAAGGGGCAGATGTGCTGAGGCGGAGGGACTGGTACAGAGGCCCTGGGGATGAGCTGGGCTCAAAGAGTCCATGGACGGCCATCAGCTGCTGGTCACCAGAAGGTGTGGGCAGGAGCTGGGCCTGTAGACCAGGGAGGTGGCCTGCAGGGGAAGGAGCCCTGCCCAGCAGTGGTGCGGGTGGCCAGAGCACAGGGTAGTRGAGACCACAGGAAGGAGACTCTGGGCCAGTAACAGTCATTAAGCATGAGCCACTCACTAAGGGGGTGGTCACGGCCGACAGCAGCATCTTACGCCTCTGTGAATGACCGTCCTCCTGCCGCTGGGCCCGGGGTGAGGTAGCCATGACAGGCATGAGGCACGGCCTGCTCACCAGAAAAGAACTCAAGGCACTGGCCTCATCCCCGAATCCCTGTCCGTAAATCTCACCACAGCACCTGACCCGCCGTCTCTTGGAGGATGGTGAAATCATCGGAAGTTTCTGGAACTCCCCAGGGCTGACCCAGGAAGCCTGCTGCTGTGTCCCCCGGGGAGTTGGGCTGACAGCCAGAGGGGCGCCACCTGTCTGCTCTCTGGGGGCTGGCGGCTAGGCAGAGCCCGGCTGGCTTTACCACTGTCTTAGATGGCCTCGGTCAAAGGCCACGCAGCCTCAGAGCCACATGACTCCCATGGCCACAAAGGACACTCAGCCAGTCCAGTCCAAACAAGTGGCGCTCACCACCACAGAGGGGTGCAGTCGGGTGCYGGTGGATGGGCGTGTGGGAGAGGCGCCGTGCCTGGGCCTCCGCGTGCAGCCCAGCCCTGCTGCTGCGGCGCGGGGGGAGGGCACAGCTGCCTCATCAGAGAGGAACTCAGGAGAGCACATCACCAACCTGCGAGGCTGGGCCTCATGGCCCTGAGTCAGGCCACCAGCATGTCCCCACAGTGTGCTGTCAGCCTGGCTGTTATCCTCCTGACTCAACTGAGACGTCAGCAAGAGGCTTGAAATAGCCCAGCCACCCGAAGGCCAGCACTGTGTGGCCACACCCTCCCCGCGGGCTTCCATCCTGGGTCTCCTGCCACCAGGTGAGGCTGCCYGAGCCGTCCAGGAAGCCAGGCCTCCCGCCACCTCCGCAGGCTTGTGGCTCCTGGAAGCCCTCCCAGGAGGACGTGTGGCCCAACCTGGGCCCTGGGCTGAGGGCTGGTTCTGGCTGCTCCCGGGGGAGGGTCTCAGGCCCACGACCAGGGTCACAGACAGGCCCTGAGCCAGGTCCTGTGTACACACCCAGGGTGCAGACAGAGGCTGTCCCGAGAGACCAGAGCCACGGAGCAGGTGCRCCTGGCCAGTGTGTGAAGGACAGACCCGGGGCCAGGACACGTCTCTCTCAGAGCGCTGGGCTGGTCAGCCTTCCCTCACTGTGACAGCGGCCAGAAAGGAAGGGGCAGAGGGAAGCAGCCAGACAGCAGGACCCGGTGCAGGAGGGCAAGAGCCCTGGGAAGGCCGGTGGGTGAGTGCACTCAGGGCCACGAGGACCCGTGACTCTCTGGAGGGAGAACACTCCTCGCTGCTGGTGCGGCAGAGCTCAGAGGGGGCAGGCAAGTGGGCGTGTTCCCTGGGGACGGAGTGGGCTGGAGGTGCCRCTCAGCAAGGCAGGAAAAACATGAGGAGGACTTTGGGGAGCTGGGTTCGGGTGCCTGGGTGTGCCTGTGGGAACCCAGCTCTCAGCCAGGGACAGAGCTGAGCAGCTGCCAGGGGCCACCCCAAGGTGCCGAGCCTAAACGGCCCCCGGTTAGAGGCTGCAATGTCTCCTCTGTAGCCTGGGAAACGCAGAGACATGGCTGACCCCGAGCCAGCCCACTACCAAGGGTGCCACAGACCACTGTCTCCTGCAGAGATGGGGTGGGGGCCTCAGCCCAAGCAGCTGTGCACACCCTGAGAGACCACTGCCCGACACCGAGGCCTGAGGTCCTCTGCCTTGGGGACACTGGCGGGGGGCCCGGGGCAGCAGGGTCAGGGGAGCCCGAGATGGCCCTCCTCGAGTGGATGGTGACCTCTCTCCCCAGAGCAGCCTCCCAGGGACCCCACCATGTGGGAGGGATGTGTCCACAGAGCGCCCGTGGGGAGAGGCCTCTCCGACAGCCTGCTCATGGCCAGCAGGTCCCAAAAGCACAAGCAGGACACCAGCTATCCACAGCCAGGCCGAGGCCTGCGCTCCTCTGTCTGTCTCACCCAGGATGATGACCAGGGCAGTCGAGGGCCAGTCCGGGTGTATCTGCCCCCTGGGTGCGGTCACCTCTGCGCTGTGGTCATGGAGCTGCGGCACGTGGCTGCTGTGTATTCCGGCTGGAGCTCTCACTAGGTCACATCCCTGGGGAGATGGGACGCACCGCCAAGGCTCTGTTGGGGGCTTGGTGGCAGCACCGTGGCTGTGGCCGCTCCTCTCCTCGCGTCACCTGCCTGCGTCTCCTCACTGTGACAAACAGCTTTGAGGGAGGGCTGTGTAGAAGACAGGTGCACTTTGGCTCACAGTCACTGAGGCCCAGTCGGTGGTGGGCTGGCCCTGTGGGTGGCTCGGGCCTGTGGTGGCACTGGACACCACTCAGGAGCTGGAGGTGATCTCGTCACCTACAGCCCAGCTAGCTACTCAGGAGGCTGAGGCAGGAGGACCCTAAGTCGGTTCCTGGCCAGCAACATGGCAAAGTCTTTGTCTCAAAAGAAAAAAGAAAGGCTGTGCTTCCCAAGGCCTCCCTGCGCTCTGGTGCCGGGCACCTCCAGGTCCGGGAGGGAGGCGTCCTCTGGGGCCTGAGGACAGAGCCCTGGCCAGCCTGGGGCCCTCTGCTCCACGTGGAGATCCTGCCCCAGTACGGGGTGGTCTCAGGGCCATGTCTCTGCAGCCACAGGTGCTCGTCCATAAGGTGAGCAGGGGACGAGGCCGCTCCCCTATCACCCCAGGGCTGGCTCCGGAACAGGTTTTTAAAAGGATGTTGTAGGTGGCTTCCACAAACAGCAGAAAGGTGAAATCTGTCCGTCTGCACGTTCCCCTGCAGTCTGTCTCAGCAGGGCCAGTCTCTGCTGCTCACTGCTGTGAGCGAGTGTGGCCAGGCCCTGGGCAGCGCTCGTGTTAGGCACCAGGGCCGTCTCAGCTCTTTAATATTGGGGTGGTGCCCTGGAGACCCTCATGCAGGACTGGAACCCTTGTTCTGGCCTCTGGTCGTCTCCCTAGAATGCACAGCCAGCAGGAGCGGCCGCAGTGCCTACGCCCTGGACCTGCCTTTCCGGGGCTGCCTCCGAGTTGTGAAGAGCCAGCCCTGCCTCCAGCTGGGTGTGGGGCGGTGGGCGCCAGGGCTCACCTGCAGGCCCCTCCAGCCTGGGGGCTTCTCTGGGAGCCCTCTGACCTCCACACGGTGACCACTCTGGGGCACACATGTCCACCACAGCAACTCATGCTACCAGGAGCCCGTGGGGCACCCATCAGGGGCTCTCTCCCACCGAGGCTCGGGCTGTAACTGCCATGGGGTCCTCCACACTTGCAACTCAGGATCAYGTAGGAGGCACACAGCATTGGTGTCGTCTTTCCTATTTAAAGCTAGATGTGCGCACAGATAACATAAATYTTCACACTTGATTTTTTTGGCCTATTTATAAAAGCAAAGTATAACCTTTTTTATTTAAAAGTACCTGACATATGCAAAGTGGCTTTTCCAAACTGTGTTGGAGCAGTTGATGAGGGTGGAATTCCCACAGCCCTCAGAGCAGGAGACTTAGAAGTCAGTGCTATTAACAGGAGACCGTGGCCAAGAAAAGCCACGGGCGRGGACGCAGGGACGGCCTCGGCCCACCCTGAGCTCTTCCTGCTGGGCCAGGCCCTCGGGGTGTGGGCCTCCCCGACAGTGTCCTCCAGATAAGCTGGACAGTGCTGATAAAATGGGTCACCACCAGTTTTCTCCCCGCAGGCCCGAGCGCAGCGGGAGCGGCGGTGGCCACACGTCCATGGAGGTACACGTCCTGAGGAGGAAGATCAGCCGCACGTGCGACGAGGGGGCCCGCGCCCTCCTTGGCAGCCTCCTGACCTACGTCACAGACCGCGCAGGCGGGCCCCCGGGGGCAGCGGACCCAGGGCCCGCGGGGGCCTGCTTGCCTCCGTCTCAGGAGGCCGGCCAGAGGCCCACCCGCTTCCAGCTCCTGCAGGCCAAGTTCATGGGCACGGGCCGGGAGCGCCACCTCAAGAGGACCAGGGAGGTGGGCAGGCTCATCTCCAGGGACAAGCAGGGYCCCAGCAGGAGCCTGGTGAGTGCCACCATCAACAAACTGCTGGAGAAGACCCAGGCGGGGGCCAGCTGCCCGGGCCAGAGGCTCCCGGCTGGGGAGAAGCCCCGCTGGGGCCCCCCTGGTGGGAAGGGCACAGTGAAGAGCATCCTGAGGAAGTTCCTGGCTGCGGAGGAGAAGGAGGCAGGAGCGGAGCCCCCTGGCCGGCAGCCTGGGGMCGCCCGGGGCCTCCTGCCAAGGACGGGGGGCAGGAGCACCATCCTGCGCCAGCTGCGAGAGAGGTTTGAGCAGAGCGGCTGCCTCCGCTCGGAGGCCAGCCTGCTGCCCCTGCACAGGGGGGGGCGGAGGGGCCTGCAGAAGAAGACGCACAGGCCGGAGCTGCGGGTGCTCCACACCACCACCATGGCCATCAGCTGCACCAGGACACCCCCTGCCCGCCTCCTGGCCTGCACGGCCGAGCCCCTGCCAGCCCTCAGCATAGCCACGGTGGTCTGCAGCCCCCGGAGCTGGCTGTCTCACTGCGCAAGGATCAGTCACTTGGAGTCCAGGCGTTGGCCCAGGAGAGACCTCAGCATGTCCTCGGACCCAGAGGACACAGACCCCAGCAGGGACAAAATGCCAGGAATAGGGATCTTGAGCCAGGAGCCCAGAGGACAACCAAAGCCCTCAAAGTCCTCCATGACCCAGGTGGCCACTCCCAGGGACAGCCCCCTGGCTCTGAACCCCACGAAGGGCATCCCCCAGCAGGACTCTGCCTGGGCCTCCCGGAAGGCCCTGCCTGACCACGTGCCCCTGTCACCCCCATTCAGACCAGCCAGCCCCAGGGGGGCTGGGCCAGCTGAAGGGGACAAGACAGTGGGGCTGACAGCAGAGGGGCCGGCGGGCCACCCCTGGGGGCTAAAAGAGGAGGGCACAGGGGAGGTCCCTGATGTCACCATGACCGTGTGCAGTTCTGAGGACGAAGCAGAAAGCTCGCTCCCAGCCTCAGACAGAGAGCCCCTCTTCGCCACCCAGAGSCACCTCCCAGAGCAGGGGCCAGCAGCTCCGATCCCCCCGCTGGCCGCTCCCAGAGTCCAGGCTGCACGGCGAGCACAGCCTGCCCTGGACTCTCCACCCCTCACCGTGCGGCTTCCCGTTGTCCACGAAATGCCAGCCCCTCCAGGGCCCCTGCAAAGCACGTGGCCGGGCGGGGACAGGCGGCCCCCGGCTTCAGGAGGGCACGCTGCCCGGGCCAAGGCAGGGGCAGTGCTTCCCCCTGCCACTGAGGACAGGGAGGCTGGCCTGGCCGCAGGGGGGCTGAGCCCCTCCTGCAGGACCTCCAAGCAAGGATCCCCAGAATCCCCGAGGGTCACTGCCCCCGTGGGTCCTGGGGACCAACAGCCGCTCCTGACGGTCCTGACAGCCAACTCTCCACAAGGTACCCCTGCTGGGAAGGGGAGCACACAGAGCCCTGTGAGCGCCAGTGAGGGCAGGAACCCCAGAACTGCTCCTGAGCTCAGCTGCCAGCGGCCTCCCCCACCTGACCACCCTGACCACGGCACCCCACCAGTTTCTTCCACGGGCGCATGGAAAAGCCCTCCAGCACACAGCACCTGCTCCACCTCTGGCAGCCAGCAGGGACCGGGTTCCAGGGAGGGAGGCGCCGGGGCAGCCCCTGCCCAGGATTTCAGAGGACCTGAGAGTCCCACCACGAGGGACAGGAGAGTCCTGTGTGGGCAGGAAGACAGCAAAGGTCCCGAGGCAGAGGCAGCCCCGCCCCCGGGGATGGCCCAGGAAGATACCCGCTATGATGGGGGCAGGAAGAGCCTAGCCCTGCTAGACGAGCCACCCAAGCCCAGTGGCAGAGCCTGCAGGGCCACAGCACCTGGAGGGAAGGTCCCAAGTTCTACAGGGGACAGGAAGGCACCACCAGGGGACGCCAGGGACCCCGAGGACAGGAGGGCACCTAAGTGGAGCTCCAGGGACCCCGAGGACAGGAG